ACGCAAGAAATGTCATTTCTAGCACTACTCCTTCGTTATTCGATACTCCCACACGTATTTTGCTCCCGAAAAATCTTTGTTTTATGCGCAACAAGGGATAGTAGTTTATCGTTTCGGTTGTCTAATAATCACAGACAAGAAATGAACCCTTAAATGAAACAATAATAATGATATGATAGCAATCTTGTAATTTGGGGATAAAATATTTGTTGATAAATTTTCCTCTGTATGAGATATTTTCATCCTGAAAAGGCACCGCCTGGTGTGAATTATCCGCCTCTTGAGCCAAATATTTCGTTGCTGTCGAAAGCAGAACAATTATTCATGTTTGAGACTTTCAAATTCGAACCAAACAAATTCTTTTTTGGTCATTTTCAACGTGTTTGTTTTTCTCTCAGTGTACTGATGAGAATAATAATTGTTCAAGTGATCAAGTATTTCTTTTTCATATGGAAAGTGTAATATCGTAATACAAAAGATAAGTCCATTTTTTTCCCATGGAAAGTATAGTGTCCATAATTTTGCAATTTACCTAAACATCCATAGCTCATGGCAAATTTACCATTATGACAAAGGGTCGAAACGAGAAATTGGAATATATGTTTTTCCTAACTTTCTAAATATTTCCATGGCAATGTCAAATGGTTTTACCTGGTTCTGGACTATCACAGGGGTCGAAAAATCCAAAGATAATTTTTTCAGAGCCCTCAGGATCCGATTTTACCGTTTCCACCCCTTCCGATAAAGGGATTATCCTCAGATCTTCCGTTGAAGATGAGACAATGGAGAAGAAACATTTCGCCTTCGGGTCCAGAGCGTTGAAGTCATTTTTAAATTTTTCGAGAGCACTTTTTGAGAACTTTGAGGCGATCGGTTGAGGCGGTGACTGGTGGTACATCGCGGGGATGTTGAAGGGGGTGGGATACGCCGCCCAGTAGTGGAATCGGTATTTTTTTAGGTCTGCGTAAGAGAGCACTAAGAAGAGGGTCAATTTCGAGGGGTCTTTCAAGGCTGTGCCGTCTGTTATCGACTGCAGGAGATGTTGGCCGATGGTTTCGATGAACTTTTCCGGCTGAATCTGCCTGAAGGTTTCGAAGGTGTTTGTGTTTATGAGGTAGCCAGAACAGGGGACGGTTCCGTTGTGCGATGTTGTCTCGACGTTTCTGGAGGAGAAAGAGAAAATTACATTTTCGAACTGTTTACATTATGAAGGGTTGATGCGACTCTAATAATCATAAACTTCAGTTTGACATAGTACAACTCTTACATTTGAAAGCATAGGATTTCTGGGAACACAGAAACATGCACGATATTTCGCAGAAAAAACCCAGCGGATTTAATTGAAAATTCTATTGAAAAATTCTGCAGCTTTACTGAGCACTTTTTAATTAAAAATGCCCAATGGAAACTGTTTTATAGAAAAAATCAGTTGAATTTCATCTTCCGATACATCTTTCTATTGAGATATTTTCTATGGGAATTCCTCAACATGAATTTTGTAAGTTTTTCCACTCTATTTTTTTCTCTTTTCATAACAAAGAAATCAAACAAAAAAATTAGAAAATTTGACCTCAGAAATTTCTATAGAACATATCGTAATGGAATAAGTTGTATAGAAAATTGAACTCTATTGATTTTTGCTGTAGAATATTTTTCTCATTGAACATTTCTATTGAAAAAAGAAAAAACATAGATAAATTAAGAATTTCCTGAAAAGTGGTCAGCCAAAAATTAATAGAAAAACCTATGGAATTCCCTGGGGAATTCCATAGATTTCATAGATTTTTAAAATTGTAAAAATAGCATCAAGGAGAGAGAATATTCTATTCTATTTAAAAGAGAGTAATGATCCGAATTTTTGCGTTGATAAGGCACCTTACTCGTTAAACGACGTACAGTCCAGCAATAATGGGCTCCTCGTTTTCGTTGATCTATCCAGGCTGTAACTTGCCCATACTGATATCTCTGTTTTCTCTTCCAATTTGTATTTATCCAACTTCAGCTCGGCGAATTTAGCCCAAAAATTGGGATCTATTGCCGTTCGCAGCTTTGTGAATTTCACCATTTCTTGAGCCATCTTTTAAATTTATTCTGGGTTCACAAAAATAAATAAATTACGATTCAGTGTATTTAAAAACTTTTCAATTTTTTTTTCATAGTTTGTCAAATCAACACTCCAACTAGATAGTTAAAACTCTTTGTAAATTTGAAATTTTATCCATTAAAATTTAAAAATCGCTGAGGGTGGCAGAAATCGGGACAGTGGCAGTTACTGGGACATTGGCGGCCGGGGGTGGGTTGCTCAAAAAATTGAAATTGTTGAAATTTCATATCACATTGTCGTTTGCAAATATTGACCAAAAACAATTCAACAATTCAACAATTCAGTAGGGGAGGTTGGGGTAAAACGGACACTTTTGACTTTTTTTCAAATGTTAATGAGGGGTTGAAATGTTGATGAAATTTGATAATTTTTTTTCAATACAAAGAACAACTTTCCCTTCGTGATGAGCCTAAACTTAGCTCAATTGATAAATTTGTTTCTGAGTTATGAATAATTTTAAAAAAGTCTAAAGTGTCCATTTTACCCCATCGTCCCCTACAAAACACTCAATTTATCTTCTATTTTTGGCACCGCGCCAAATACCTCCGAGGAAGGCAGAGACCATCTCCCCAAAAAAATCTCTATTTCTCTTGAATTCAAAGATATCTAGAAAACATCACCTGTTTTGATGTCACTCCACACCTTCTGAATTCACTCTTTCTCAAAAAACAACACTACCTGCGACAAACCAATAATTAGTGTTCTAAAAATGTTAGCTCAAAAGAAGCTTATAACAATCCAGTCGATTGTAAACATAAATAACCTCAAAACTCGAGACAGTATTCCTAGAAATTTCGAAGTCAATTGTCGTAAGAATGCCAGATCCTTCTTTATCTCAAAAAGTCGCTGTTAATGAGGTACAAAGTACTTCAATTTATGCAACAAAGAGATGTTTCACAAGTGGAGTTCTCACATACATCCTTAATTCTGCAAAAATTAATAACTCAACATTCCGAGAATAAGTAAAATCCAAAATTGATAATCTTGTGGAATTGAACAGATGTTTTGGAGCAGTTCATGCTCCAATAACAGTAAACAGTATTTTGACAAGTCTCACCTCACCCCATCAAGGTGTCATGTGTGTGTATTACTCCCAACACTCTAGTCACTGATTTTTTTTTTTTTTTTTGCAAAACAGCTGTTATGACAGGAGCCATATTGGGAAATCACGTTTCGGAGCAAATATTACTCATTTCATTTTTTTGCGCTCCGAAATATTATAATTCTTAATAATAATAATAATAATAGTAATGATAATAATGATAATAATAATAATAAAATAAAAATAAACTATTTAATACTATTAAAAAAGCAATATCGTAATATATCAATGTTTCATAGTATTTTTAATACTATTTAATATTTAATATTACAAGTCTTGAAAAATATGAAAGAATAATGAATTTTTTATTAATCAAACTTGCAATTTTTTTGAGCGAATAAAAAACGGAGCAAATAATAACTGAAAAATATTCATAGAATTAGTAAAATCTGACGTTAATAATCTTGTGGAATGGAAAAGATATTTTGGAATAGTTCATGCTCCAATAACAGTGAACAGTGTACAAAAAACGATGATCATCTCTTTTTTCTGCAGATAAAAATAATTATTATTACTCGATTATTCATACGAAATTATAATATTCGATACAGACTATAAACACAAACAGAAAAACATTTGTAAGTTGCATTAGATATTTAACAAAATACGAAACATTTTTTCTCCCAAAGTTGTCTTCATCAATTTATTTTTAATAGTTATTAAACGTCTAGGAGAGTTCCTCGAGGTCTCGATCTCTTGGAGGGATCCACTTCGGGCGGCGGCATTGTTTTCCTTTTCGTCATTCCCTTTCGCTCCAATTGTTTCTCAATAATTCTTGCATTATTGGCGTAAGAATCAGCGACTTCTCTCTGTGAAAATGAAAAATGCAGATCAGTTGTGTTTAATTTATTAGCGAAAATGTTGTGCTATGAGGACAAAAGCAATTTCCCACTTGCTTTCTGGTGCAATACTCACCGCTTCAATTTCATCCTCCTCTTCATCTATAGTAGACACTGTGACCGAGCTGAATTTCCCCATATTTTTAGTGTGCTTGGTGACCATGATTTTCTTTGGTTTTTCAACAGCCACTTGATTGTATATATCAGTCATCGGGCCTTCTCCCGAACTCTTGATTACAGCTCCTTTCACCACGAACACAATATTCGCCGAAGGATCGTGCTTATAATACAACAACAGTCCACATCTAAAGTCAATAAAAAAAAATTGCATTGTAGACAACTCAGCAGTGAAGCGGTAAAACGGTTCAAGTCAATTTCGTCCAGGGCTTTGTTTTCGATGATTATCTCGGAATTTAAGGGAGATAGCAAAATTTTCCTAATTACCTTTTTTGTAGAGCGAATGAAGAGCTACAAAAAAAGTTAATACGAAAATCTCGCTATCTGCCTTAGATTCTAAGATATCCAGTGAAAACCGACGAATACTCAAACTTGACTTGAACCGTCTTTCCACTTCGCTGCTGATTTGAATTTATTCATTCAATATTTGTGATAATGACACATTCTGAATTATTATGGATTGAAGGGATTGATTTACTTCTTGCATTTCTGTCGATACTGCTTTTCAATTCCCTCCTGACGTTTTAAGAATACTGTTTCGTCCTGCTCACACGTCATCTTGTGAGCGCGTTTACTGCCATCAATCACTCGGGCTCCATCACGTTTTCTCAGAGGTAATTTTTCGATGGCACAATCTGGAAATGAGGAGAATAGTCAGCTCTGAACCTCGTGACCCTTATTCTGACCCTCACGACTCTCATGCTGAACCTCGTGACCTGTATTCTGACGCTCATGACCCTTATTCTAACCCTCGCAACCCTCTGACCCTCATGAATATGATTCTGAACCTCGTGACACTTATTCTGACCCTCTGATTGAGCATAAACCAACCAGAATGTTTCTATTCACATTAACTTTCGTTTATTAGAATTTATTAACCATTTTAACCTTCAAAATTCAAGTTATGTTTAGCGGATGTTGGGGTCAAACGGACACTTTTGACTTTTTTAAAAATGTTAATGAGGGGTTGAAATATTGATAAAATTTGATAATTTTTTTTTCAATACAAAGAAGAACTCTTTCCCTTTGTGACGAGCCTAAACTGAGCTCAATTGATAAATTTGTTTCTGAGTTATGAATAATTTTAAAAAAAGTCTAAAGTGTCCATTTTACCCCACTCTCCCCTACACAACTTTAATATTATACTCTTGGCAAATTTTATAGTGGCGAGTGGAGAAAAATGGAGTCATGCAAATTAACTAATTAACTGATTAATTAATTATGTTAAATATTGATTGTGGAGTAATAGTCTGCAATTTATTTACCAAGAATCAACGTCATCTGTCCACACAAACAATAATAGATGTGCAAGGGCTTCTCTTCACTGTACTCCTCCTGATCCTTCGTGTCTGAACATATTATACTCCTAGATACGACTTTCGGCATTTTTCAGGATTTTTTATCCACTTTTATATCAATTTCTTGGGTTACTCCAAAAAATAACGAGATGAAACGAGTGCAGCAAGTGCAGGTGTCAACAAAACGTAAATAAACACGACATAACCTCAATCACATCAATATTCGCTCGCATCGTCGCTGTGTCTGTTCTCATGTACCGCCCGCGAAAATGTGATTTTTTTGGAATTTTCGTCACAAGCTCCTAACCTTCAGAGCAATTGCTTGTTATTACGACGATTTTCGTGATTATAAATTCACTCTTGCAGGATGAGAGGTTTATCAAACATCAAATCACATTCAATCTCGTGTGGAAAATTGAGAACGCGGAGATTTGCTACGGAAGTGGAGAAGAGTTCGTAAGTATCAACTCAAAGACAGCAACAACAATTCGTGGAAAAAAATTACAAAATCCGTGCCCAATAATTTTAGTAGAAAGAATCTCTGGAGAAAAATTCAAATAGAAATATCGAAATATCTATTGACTTTTTCCTATCAAATATTTGGATTGCGACAATGGGTCATTCTAGGAGAAAATATAAAAATTCTTCTCTACGGATGAGACTATTTTTTATATGAAAAATCACTCATTATGAAGATAATAAAATAATCCTGATTATTCTAGGGCCCAATAATTTTAATAGAAAAAATCCAGGAGATAAAGTCAAATAGAAAAGTGGACATTTATTGAATTTTTCCTATCAAATATCTAGTAGAATCTGCGCAAAAAACAAATAAAATTTTAACGAGAGTTCCGTAGAATTTTATAGAATCCTCATAGAATTTCAATAGAATTTTCCAGCGAATTGGCTAAGATTTACTACTGAATTTTTCATAATTGTTTTTATGTCGAGAATTCCCATCCAAAGTTCAGCCAATAGAATTCGACTATTCGACTGTTATTTTATATAGTCAACACGGTATTCAACTGCTAATTTTTGATAATTCAACTGGTAATTTTTTATGTTGATAAATATATGGAAAACAACAGATTTCCTAGTCGAATGAGTCTCTTATTGAACCTGGGAGATGGATTTTGTCTGATAGTGCAATTCTCTTGGCCGAAATTTGGATGGAAAAATTCTTTTCCGAATACCACTCGAGGTTCAAAATTAATCAGGTATTTCCCTGATAATTTTAAAATTATACAAGACTTCCGTAGAATTTTATAGAATCGTCATAGAATTTCTACAGAATTTCAATAGAATTTTCCAGCGAATTGGCTAAGATTTACTACTGAATTTTTCATGATTGGTTTATGTCGATAATTTCGTTTGTTGTCCAGTAAAAAATGGAAACCTGTGGTTGGTCTCGAGATTCACGCGCAGATTTCAACGGCGTCGAAGCTCTTCTCTGGGGCGAGCACTAATTTTGGAGAACCGGTGAATTCTTGTGTTTCGTTCTTCGATTGTGCTACACCAGGAACTCTTCCGGTAGGATAATTATCTATATTCATCCGTGTTGGCCATCTTTCAGTGGGCAATGGCGAGCGCCAATTTTTTTTTTAATTTATTCAGCTATAAATAAATTTCAAGATAAAAAATTAATAGAACAACAAGACAATTCTATTGGATTTCTGTTAAACTTCCTATTAGCTCTTAGCCGGTTGTATTGCAATGTTCAATAGAAAATATTCTATAGAAAAAGGCAATTAAATTCGGCTTTTCGATTCAACTTACTCGATTGAAATATTTCTTATAGAATTTCTTTGTCTCAAACTTTCTAAGTTTTTTCATTCTATTTTTCTTTTTTTTTTCATCACGAAAATTAAACTAAAAAACTTATAAAATTTTAGGCGAGGAAATTCTGTAAAAAATATCTCAATATAATAAATCTTAGAGAAAAATCGAAGTCTATTGACTTGTCCAACATTTCATCTTGAACATTTCAATAGAATCGTTCAAAACCTAATAAAAAGTTCAACAGAAATTATTATTATTACATAATAATAATCGCATAAAATTTTTAGGTTCCAATTCTTAATTTTTCTCATTTATTCTATTTATTCTATCGACAAGAATAGAAATGGAATTTACGGCTATTCTTTCATTACTCGAAAAAATATATCGATTTTAAAACTTTCCGGAGACATTGAAAAATTAATTAATTAATTTATTTTAAGCCCACATTATTTTGCATTTTTTCATTTCTTCTCGTTAAAGTGAGATCGTAAAACTTGAAAATATGCATATGCTTCCCAAATTTGGGAAGAAAAAAGAGTAGTTCCAAGTTTCCACCGATAAAAATGAAGAAAACCAAATTTTTCCATTTTCTAGCCGATTATCCCTTTCTAAAAATGTTCTGTCTCCAATTCATGATTTTTGCTATTCAATGCCATTCATTACATTTATCATTCTATCAAAAGACAAGGATAGAAATCGAATTGATGGGTATTCTTTCAGTATTCGGAAAGATATTTAATGGGGTTACTCGTCGGTAGGGCCGTAAAAGTGCAGTTTTACAATTGCCAAAAATATATATATCAAGAATAAGAATGACTCGAATTAACTTAATCTGATTCTGAAGACGGAAAAGGCGAAAAAAATGAAATAAAATAATATAGTATAAACTAATCTAGTTTAGTCCAATAGAATTGTCTACCGAATTCGCTAGGTTTTTGATTAAACTTTTTCGTGTATATAATTATTGACAGGTGCTGAATAAAAAATGTGTAGAAGCTGGAGTGCTGACAGCCCTGGCATTGTCCTCACAGTTGAATGAAGTCTCACTGTTCGACAGAAAGCACTATTTCTACGCTGATTTACCAGTAAGTCGTCCTCTCGATTTGAAATTCCAGAGCCATGCACGCAATTCTACAGACAAAATTCCCAATTAATCAAACAATCGTTCCTCTTCCCTATCTGAACGATTTTTAGTCCGGTTACCAAATAACTCAGCAGAGAAAACCTCTAGCAGTAGGAGGAGAGTTAAAGTTCTCAGTTTTCACCCCTGGAATTCATAAGGAGCCTTACCTCAAGTCGTCAAAGTTGAAGCAATTGCAGCTGGAACAAGACAGTGGAAAAAGTCTGCATGAGGAGCCCAGAGGCAGGTAAATCAAGTGCAGGTCGTCACGATTTTCGTAATTTTTACGTAATTTATTTAACGATTTTTACGATTTTCGTTATTTTTTGTTATTGTGGAATTCGTAGGAGTCTTGTGGATTTGAACAGAGCAGGGGTACCTCTCATGGAATTTGTATTCGAACCAGATCTTTCTGATGGCGAAGAAGCTGCAGCTCTCGTGAAAGAACTCAGTCTTGTGTTGCAGAGACTGAATACATGCTCTTGCAAGATGGAAGGTACAAAAAGTTTACAATTTTTGCATGATTCATCCTTCAATTTTCTTTATGTCTATGTACTTTATTTGATTCCCCTAGGGGATACAAAGGACCTCCGTTCCTACATATATATACATACAAATTTAACAAAAAAAAAAGAAAAAACAAAAAGAAAATTCAATTTTCTTTATGTTGTTCATTCGTTTCTTATTGTCATTCTGTATTCTGCGTTGAAAATTTAATTATCTCGACAGCGAGTGTTTTAGGAGAAAAAAAACTTCTTCTCCAGCTGCAAGGCTTTTCTGCAGAAAAAGTCTTTGGACGTTTCCTGTTGAATCCACTCATCTGGATGTAGAAAAATAAGTTGTTCAGGCTTGTTGAATTATTTTTCATCACTTCATTACTTCACTGAGAGTGTTAAATTCACAATTTTAATCATAATTCCTACTCTTTTTTTGCCTTTTTTCCTTTCTGTTGAACATTTAATGATTACGACAATGGGTCGTTCTAGGAAAAAATATAAAAATTCTTCTCTACGTCTGAGAATATTTTCTATATGAAGAGTCATTAACATTTCCTTCAAAATCACTCATTATGGAAATAATGAAATACTCCTGATTATTCTAATTGCAACTAGAAATGAAAAATAGATGTTGTTCTATTAAATTCTTCATTGCTTCATCATTGAGATAATATTTCATTAATTATAATTATATTATAATTATAATTGATGATTTTTTTCATTCCACAACTTTCCAAAAATTGTTTATAATCCATGTACAAAATGTAGTTATTTTACAAATGGATGATTCTAGGAGAAATCGAAAAAACCTTGTCGACACCTGAGAATATTTTCTATATGAAGAGTCATTCCCATTTCCTTCAAAATCACTCATTTTCAAAGAGCGTTTTTAATAAAGATTAAGAAATAAGGCCGATAGAGAGGAAATAGTGAATGGATAATTTATCATGATAATTAACGATCTGACAGCCATTGACTACCGTGACAAATGACGACCTAACAGTCATTAGACACATAAAATTATTAATTTGCCATTTCCTCTTCATTGGGTTTATTTCCCAATATTATTAAAAAACGCTCTTTGAAAATGTTTAGCTTTTTTTCAACGTTTTTTTTTTATTGTACAATCGTAATTTTTGGAGACTCCAGGGCTACGTAAAACTGAATAGCAATCGAAGATCATTTAAGATTATTAAAATAAAAAAAGCAATCAAGATCGTGCTCGAAGGATAATCCACCCGGGCTTTAATTCTGTTAAATTCTCCATCACCTCCTCAGCGATATATTCAAATTGATGATTCTCCTTTCATTCCACGAATCTTCATCAGAGGGTGCCCTTCGTGTAGATGCTAACATCTCCCTGCACCGTCCGAACGACCCCCTGGGCGTGAGAACAGAGGTGAAAAATATCTTCAGTATCCGTGCAGTAGCAGCAGCGATAAAATACGAGATAGAACGACAAACGGCATTACTGGAAAAAGGTGAGAAGATCGTCAATGAGACTCTCTCGTGGGACGCTGTGAGGCACAAAACAGTCTCCATGAGGGACAAAGAGGAGAAGCAGGACTACAGGTTCATGCCAGAGCCCAATTTACCACCACTTCGTCTGCACCTGAGGAAGGACGAGAAGAACTATCGTAATCTGGTCGACGTGCCCAGGCTAAAAACCCAATTACCAGAACTGCCTGAGCAACTGCGATCCAATCTCAGGGGGAGCTTCAGTTTACCTCCACAGATTGCTGACAGGATAGTCAATAACGCAGTGCTATTTCAATTATTCGGGGATATTATGAGGGAGAATCCCAAGAGGAGCCCCAAGGCTGTTTCTAACATACTGCTGGGAGAGCTTTTGGAGTATACGAATAAAAATAAAATCGAATTGGATAATTTGTAAGTTGAAATGTTGACTTTTAGAGATGAATTCTCTACGCGGAGAGGCAAGTTGGATAAAAATTACCTAGACAATTTCCTCAATTCTGATTTTGACCCATCAGAGTGCAGTATTCGGAGTCACGTGATGCGTTTCACACTGATAATTTCCCCGGCTGCAGGGAAATTATCAGACTGACGATTACTTTTGGAGCCCTTAAATAGATAATATCAACCTTGAAATTTTTTGAGTAATTAAGTATCATCAATTCAAATTTTTAACTATTTTGATCAATGTAAGTCGAAAATTCTTGTAATATTGAAGAATCGGAGGACTGATGGCCATCCATCCCTGGCCGTGAGAAAGGAGGAAATGAGTGATTTTGGAATAAAATGTCAAGTGATTTTTTCTTGGATGAGAAAATTCCAATGTAAACTGTGAATTTAGTTGTTATTAACACATACAAATTTATTCTCTCTGTTGCGTTTCACAAGTTCACTACTGAACTGTGGAATTATCTCGAGAAAGTGGATTGAGACAAATGTGAAGATTTCATGTTATGCCTTGACATTTTCTTTAAAGTCACTCTTCATTGAAATGACTCGATATTCTGTACGACGTGAATAATCAATTGTTCAATTGCGTGTTTTCCACTTGCAGGTTAATATCACCGAGACAAATTGGGGAAATGATCGACTTGTTAGAAAGCGAAATCATTAATATAGCTACAATTAAAAAATTGTGGGAGATATTGAGGGAAGATTCAACTGCTTTGCCCACCAGGGTAAGACATTTTTAGTAATTGTTAATTCAACCTGAAAATTATTAATTTTTTAAAGAATTCAGTATAAAATTAATTTCTCGTGGAAAGAAACATGAAAAATTCAATTGTCACGTTTTTTTCCATTTTTTTCTACGCAGATCGTCGAAGAGAACGGATGGGAGCAGATAAACGATGACGATACATTGAGGCAACTGTGTCAATCAGTCCTCGATGACGATCCGTCATTATTAAAAGCGTTCAAAGCTGGAAAAAAGAAAGTGTTCCGCGCAATGTTGGGTCCAGTTTTTAAACGATCAGAAGGTCGAGCCAACATGGGAAAGGTTGTGAAAATCCTGCAAGATTTATTGAAATAGAAAAGAAGTGTTAATAGCTGTAAATAAAAGAAAATAAACATGAGTAGTGGAGTGTTAAAACAGGACAAATCAATTCAGTAGTGAAGCGGTAAACCGAGTTAAGTCGATTTGGACTATTAGCCAGTTTTTGCTGAATATCTCGGAATCTAAGAGAAATAGCAAAATTTTTCTCATGACTTTTTTTATACCGCTCTATGGGCTCTACAAAAAAGGTCATGACAAAAATCTTTCTACCTCTTTTAGATTCCGAGATATTCGTCAAAAACTAGCCAATAGTAAAAAAACGATTTAACCCGGTTTGCCGCTTCGCTACTGAATTGCATTTTAACATTAGTTGATCGTTGGCATTTCCTGTTTTAACACTTCATCACTGAAATGAATAATTAATTTCTTAGTTGACTCATTATTGGATCCTCCCTAGGCAATCCTAGAATTCTAAATATTCTGAAAATGTCTTGGAATAAAAATATGACAGGAGAAATCAATTGCATTTAAGCAGCAGTTTTTGGATAACTGCATAGTTTTTCCATAAATTTGTCACCAGAACCCTTTTCATGGCTCCGGTTTTAACAAAATTATTCCTGAAAGAAATTTCTCCAAAAATTTCCAATTCATGAAAAACTCATCATTAATTTTTAATTAATTAGCTTTATCCTTCTTCAAAACTATCACTGGAATAAAATGAAATCTGAATCATCTCATAATTCAGAAGTGAAGTGGTAAAACGGTTTAAGTCGACTTATCTCCCAATTGAGTTTTTGAGGAATATTTCCGAATCTAAGGGAAATAGCGAAATCTTCGTAATTACATTTGTTGTAGCTCTCAATCGGGTCTACAAAAAAGGCTATAACCAAAATTTTGCTATCTCGCTTAGATTTCGAGATATTCATTGAAAACTGGCCAATAGTCAAAATTAACTTGTTTTGAGATCCTGAAAACACCCTCGAGGAAACACATTACAAAATTTCTTAAGAAATGTGAACTACAGATTTAAAGCTAATAGTCATAATAACAGCAACAAAGTCTAGATAACTACAACCAAAATCACACAATCTGCGATAATTGGAGGCTGTTATCAGTCGTTTTCTTTTTTTTGTTTTTCTTATCCATGTCAGCTGAATGAGCCCGAAAATGGGTTCCAAAGCTTTAAAAAAAAATTAACTTGTACCGCTTTACCACTTCGCTATTAAATTGAATCCTGCGCAGACTATGCCAATAAAATAGTAACACCCACGGAGTATTATCCACTCATCCCCCTCGAATTCACCAAATAATTTGTTATCTTTTTGTTAAATATTGTTGTATTTAAAAAAATGTACATTGTTCATTCTTCAGCTTACAATGTGTTTAGCTACGATTTCCTTTTATTATATAAAAACAATCACCATAGTTCAAACGCCCATATTGCAGTGTACAGTGACGTATAATTTTATAAATAACGTGAACATTTGTCATCCTAAGTTACTCGCAAATCAAATTCCCTCCTCGTAGCGAAAGTGATAGAAAAACGAATAATTGTTTTTTTTAGTATTCTCATTGCTTCAGATCTTTGAGAAAAAATATGTATCTACATAATTACATCGAGTCTTTACAAAGTATTTAACATTCACAGTGTCGTCAAGTGTTCAATCAATACCGATGGTTTTAAACTTTAAAAAATCGTCGAATTTATTCATAATTTCGTTAATCTTTACAATGTCGATATAAAAGTTCTCGATTTTTACTAGCGACTGAGATATCAGTGAAGGCGATTTCATGTTTCTTCTGAAGTAATTGTCATTTTAATTTTAATAACAATTTTATTTTCACAAATAATCGCCTTTATTTTGCCTTTGGCACAGCCACAATAGTAACTGACTCTACATTTTCGTTCGAAATAAATTAAATTATTAACACAAAAAATTAATCAATTTTCTTCATAATAGCAGGATGTCAACATAGTATTAATTGATGTTGAATTGTTAAAATATGGATAAAGTAAATAATACAATTTAACAAATAATCATTTGCAGCCTTTCCCAAAATTCTAATTTTCTCATTTTGTCTCTTTGGATGGACCAAAGATCATTGATCATTCATTTTTTATTTTGAAAGCTTACTGATAACTCTTATGAGAGCCCCGTTCTCGTCCTTTAGCCTCTGGTTCTCGCACTTCAACTGCTCCAGCATCTAGAAGATAAAATAATAACATTTTTCCTCTTCTCGTTGATTTCATTTGTCAGGCGACAGAACAGAAAAATATTAATTCAGCTGCTGTAACACGCCCTAGATTACTTTCAATTAATTAGGGAATTGGTAAATCATTCGGAGTTGACTTGAAAAAAAAAATTTTTTATTTAACAAATTTCAATTTTTTGTGGGTTTACGGGAGGTCTCAGAGGTACGGAATTTTTTCTTTTCAATCCATGCCGGACGGTTCATGCAGTGGGGACTCCTCGAAGTGCCATTTTCATAGAGATTGTTGTGAATGAGAACAAGCAGAATAAAAGAAGAGATTTGGGTGAATTAGGTTGTTGCGAGAAATTTGTTTATTGAATAAAATGATAAAATACGAAAATTAGATGAAGAAAGGCGAAAGGAAATTAGTTTATTTTAAAAAATGTTGAAAAATTGGAAAGGTACGGCGAATTACGGAAATATCTGATTATGATGTCACAAAACAGAATTTTTCAATTGTTTATAAATTATGAATTTTTTGGTATTGATCGAAATGAAAGAAAAGTGTCTAATATTTTTGATAAATTTTTTTCAATGCGGAAATATGTTAAATCCTTTTCCGTTCAAATTGTGTTGTTGCGTGAAACTTTTTACTGACTAAATCGATGAAATACAAAAATTAGATCAAAAAAATTGAATACAAATTTTGTTGTTTTAAAAAATGTTGCGAAATTTCAAAAATACAGCCACTTGAAGAAATATCTGCATTATGACGTCACAAAATAGAATTTTTCAATTATCTCTAAATTATAAATTTTTTAATTCATTCATTTCAATTCATATAAACTATAACTTATTAGTTCTCAATTTTATTGAAAAAAATGTTCAGTATTTTTCATCCATTTCCATAACCAGCAATGAGAATTACCTGAATTATAAGAATGGCACTGCTATGAGGGAAACTTAATATTTATTTGAATTTTTTTGTGGAGATTTGATTTTCCCTTGATATTGTCTCGAGAATGGACAATTTTAATAACAATTTCCTGTCGTTTTCTCCTCAAAAATTAAAAATCTCAAGCTGTAGTTAATGAAATTACAGACAATTGAACGTTCAACTTCCAAAAGAAGAAGGGTTTTCGAAATAATTGGAAAAAGTTTCGTTCTTAAACTTTCAACAGAAGAGACCTCGAAGAATAATGAATGGGAGAAATTTATTGAATTAAATTAACGATTTCGTCACTCTGGGATTGTCTTAATAGAAAATAGCATGCATCAAAATAATCCAATATTTCAAACAAGAATTGCTGAAATAAACTGAATAACTTCCACTTCAATTTTTCGAAAATCTCTAGCACTTTTTTCTCCTAAAATACCCATCAATCTAAATAAAATGACTAGAAAATGCGGAAATGTAGTTGGATTCAGTCCACTATATTAGTAACAAACTCTGAAAACGCTGGAACGAAAAAAAACAACTCAGCAACTCAGAAAAAACTCAGACTTGCAAATGAAAAAAAAAAAAACTCATGCCAAAAAACGTGTATTTTCTTCCTCTGGATGAAGCCATGTGCCTTGTCCCAAAATTAACTCATGCGCATTGGCGTGCCGCTAGAAGGTGTTACGATGATGGATAAATAATGAGTTACGATATACCACTATTTCTTAGATCTATCTGATTGTTGAGTGAGTTTCAATGATATTCGATTAATCGTGAATGAAACACTTTAATGAATAATTATCATGATGTCGATGGGTTGGTATTATTTAAAAAAATCAGTGACGAAGTGAAAATCATTTCCTCATCCCGTTAATTGCCAAATCATCTCCATAATGAATTAATTGAGAATTACGAAGAACATGTCAAGAGACTTTTGTCGTAGAAAAACAAATCGTTCTTCTGAATTCACCCACCATTTAAATGGTCAAACAGTCAACGAGATGAAAAACCCACACGTTATGCTTTACCACTTCGACACAAAGATGATTCTCTTCGTGTTAAAATTAGAGATGAAACGAGTAACTGGTGAACGATGAGAGTAAAGGTTTAATTTTGAAATAATTCCACGCAGCTTAGTATTTTTAATAATGAAATGCTTCCAAAATGTATTTTAACATTTTAATATTGAATCAGGGTCATCCTAGTATAGTCTCTTTCTAAATTTTAACTCAAACTTTACTATTGCCTCATGAGTTCTGTATAGAAGTGAATACCAAAGCACTGAATACTAAATATAAAACTTTATCAGTGATAAAATTGATGTGAACATTTCGGCAATGTGAAAAAACAACAATTAAAAATTTTAAGAATTCAAATCTATGATTTTTTATGAATTGTTTATTGATCTGAGCATTAAATGTCTAGAGAGATTTTCAACTATATTATGAACGAAACAATTCTCTTGACATTTTCCCTAGAATGACTCAAGCAAATGAACCATTAATAAAAAAAAATGTGAAAAATTGACTTGTCCTATTTAATTTCTGTAATTTAAATTTTATTCATGATCTAAACAATTAAAAATCATAAATATGAATTTTCATGAACTGTTTATTGATCTGGGAATTAAATATCAAGAGAGATTTTTAACTATAGCTTCAAAAAAACAATTCTTTTCACATTTCCCCTAGAATTACTCATCAAGAAGATGAATAATTATTCAATAAAATGTAAAAAAATTGACTTCACACTTCCCTTCACTTTCCCTTTTGCTTTCACTTCACTTTTTTTGTCTTCTCTTGACTATTAAATTCCAGTAATTAAAATCTGATTCATGATCTAAACAGTTAAAAATCATAATTATGAATTTTCATGAACTGTTTATTGATCTGGGAATGAAATATCAAGAGAGATTTTTAATTATATCTTCAACAAAAAAATTCTCTTCACATTTCCCCTAGAATTACTCATCAAGAAGATGAATAATTATTCAATAAAATGTGAAAAATTGACTTGCACTATTAAATTTTAGTAATTAAAATTTTATTCATGATCCAAACAATTAAAAATCATAATTATGAATTTTGATAAATTGGTTGTTGATCTGGGAATTAAATGTAAAGAGAGATTTTTAACTACATCTCAAAGAAAAACAATTCTCTTCACATTTCCCTTCAAATTATTCATTAAGAAAATGAGCCATTATTCAAGAAAATGTGAAAAATTGACTTTTACTATTAAATTTCAGCAATTAAAATTGTATTCGTGGTCCAAACACATTAGAAATTATATTTACAATCGACCTACTAGGATTCCCTCGGGAAAAAACGAGAAATAGAAAGACGTGGTGGTCAATGAATTAATGAACAAAAACGTCTCTGTGTAATAACGTAAATTTTTTATTGATACTTTGTTAAACGCAGATGCTGTTGGTTTCTGTTGTTTTGTTTTTTGTTTTTTTTTCTTTCATTATATCCTTTACCTATTTAGTAGTATTGGTGAGTTTGGATACGACGCGGGTAAGTGCCCGATTTTCGGCTTTCAATCGCTCATTTTCGGCTTTGAGCTTTTGCAATTGCTGTAAACAGTGGAAACAGTTAGCCCAATAATTTATCAAATAGTTCAAATTTACACCTTTTCAATATTCAAGTAAAGCCCCCAAGACAACAATGAAAAATAAAAATTTAACTCAAAGGGGGAGGGGGACAAGAAACAGATAACGAAGAAATTCACACGAAAATGCTCCTCTCCAAACGTTTCAATGAAACTAAAAAATAAAGTCGGAAAGAAAAGGTAAATCTCTCAGATAGAAAAAATTCGAAGTTCAGAGCGTGAGAGAGACTCAAGGCGCATCGATGCAGCTTTATTCTTCAATGAAAAATAGATGCAGTAATTCGTGAAATAAAATGAGGAAAAAAGATAAGCCATTGCGACCAAGCCCTTGTACCCTGGAGTTTAACGTAAATAATAGGTAAACGAGATGAAATAAAGTGAGAAAATCTTGCACCTCGATGCATACAAAACAGTTTTGAAAAGAAAATCATTCGTGCAGACCTATTCATAATTAATATTCGAGAATATTCCAGCAGTGAAGAGGTAAAACGTATATTCTAGAAAATTCCAATCACCCATGATTAATTACATGAGCTTCAAGGTATGTGATTAAAAAATTGATTTTGATGATTTTCAATGGCTGCATTTCTCGTGTGTAAGTCGTAATAATTGAAATTTTTAATAACGAGATCAAAGATGACAATTTGATGAATTTTTATGATTCATCACGTTATTATTCAAGTTGATTAGAATCAATATGTTCTTTCCCGTCTACGAATTTCTATAGTATTACTAAGGAGAAATTCGTGGGAAGCGATGAAAACTTCTACTGAAAATCCATAATTTTTTTTTATTGCTTTAATTTAGATATCTTGTCACTTTAGTTATTCTTTCATCTTATATCGTATAAAAATCGACTGTTATGTCGATGGATTGGATCTGGTCTGTGTAAAAAATTGAAAAAACTATGAAATAGTATATGAAATGTTGGAGAGCTATAAATTTGTAAATTTTGTATATGACTACATGTACAAGTTTGGGTTTTCACCTTGCTATGGGAGAGTTTTTCTCTTGATAAGCAATAAATAAATAAATAAATAATAATAATAATAATAATAGACAGTTTAATATATAGTAAATTATCTGAAATCAACTTTATTTTGTTACGTGTTACCTTTTCGCTACTGTTTTATTTTGAGCCCAATCATTACTGTGGGGTTTCCGAATTTTTCAATTCGCACATGTTTTGGTGCAACGAATATGTTGACGGAATTATAACACCGGGAATTTTGAATAAATTCAACATCTCAGATGAAAATGTAATCTCAGAAGTAGTAAAAAGTGATAAATGAGATTCCAAAATTTTCGATAATTGGCTAATTATTTCAATAAATGTTTATGTTGGAATATCTCCTACACTATTTTCTATGAATTTATATAAATAAAAATGAATATTAAAAAAAATATTAAGTTTACATAAATTTATGAACAAAAATAGAACACTTCATTGTCATTTTTCATCTGAAGTTCCGTGAAGTGATGGAGAATAAAACGAAATATAATTGAATGGCATGTACACTGAATGTTTGTATTGCCGGAGTGCACAAACAACAAGATAATCTGCTGAAAGCTCTGAAATTGAAAAATAAACTCGAGAGAATATAAAACATGAATTACCTTGAGTTCCTCCTCCATCTCCGAGAGCTTCCTCTCCATCGCTCGTCTCTCCCGCTTCTCAGCCTCCGACAAGGCAGCTTTATTCTGATTACTTTGGGCCTTCTCCAGCAAACTCCGTGTCTCCTTCAGCTGGTCATCCGATCTCCTCAGCTTGTCTTTCAATCTCTCGTTCTCCGCCTGCGACTCCTCCCAGAGTTTCTTGTAATCCAATTCTCCATTTTCGGAACTCGTGGATTTTGTTCTACTTGGGGTGGATGGGACCTCAGAGGAGACTGACGTGACTGAGCCGAGGCGGCTCGATCGACCGGAGCGTTCATTTCCACTCTGGAAGAATATTCAAGTCTAGATGTGTTTTTACCCAGAATTGAAATGGGCACCCAAAAAACAATATTTATTCTGAGAATTATGATCTCAAGTTGAGGCTTTCTGAAATCCCAAATCGACACTGCCACAAGTCTCAAGTTGAGACTTTCAGAACTTCCCTTAAGGGTGCCAAGTGAATTTGGCGATGACTTTGAAAATTGACATTCACCAACAAAGTTATAATTTTTTTAATTAATAGTATTAGACAGATGGTGAACATCGGTGACAATTTTGAAATTTTAGAACTTACGGATATCGAGAAATTAAATAAACAAAATCAGTCTTATACACGGCCTCTTATGGAGTTTTGATTAAATTGAACTTTCCAACCCCCTAGGAACTCAAGAAAAATTTGAAAAAAATTGAAGATATGGGGAATGATGTGTTCAATGTGATGGCGACAAAAAACAATGGGGTACCGGGGTGAATAAGAGAGATATTTCAACCCGCCGTACCCATTTGATCCCATGGTTTCTCGAGGTTCATCACGCGAAATAGAGGATTTTCCGCATTTATTTTCTCGATGTCTAGTTCCGTTTGGGGGTTTGAAATTTCGTCGGATGGATGAATACATATTTCTCCAATGATGGAGGGAAAGAAAAAATTTTTTTTGAATCTTTTTTCAAATTCACTTGGCACCCTTAAGGGGAGACGGAACCCCTTTGTCTACATCAAATCTTAGAATTGTTTTCTCCTACAATTATTAATTTCTATCTATGAAAATACTTAATCGACTCGATTATCGCATTGTTGAATCAATGAAGTAGTTTAATGAATAAAAAATAATAATTGCAGGGAAAAATACAATTCTAAAGATTCATATAAACCCAGGGGTTCCGTTTCCCCTTAAGGATATCCAAGTATTTTGGATTGTAAGTTGGGGAAAATATTTATTACGTTCAAAAAAGTCCTTGGAGCCCTCGAAAATTATGATTTACATGTAAAATCGTGAAATTTCCTGAAATTTCAGTGGGAATTTTCCTCATCCAAATGTCAGCCATTGCACTATTCGCCTGTTATTTCATATAGTCAACACGGTATTCAGCTGATAATTTTTGATAATTCAACTGGTAATTTTTCATGTTGACTATTTGTGGAAAACAAAAGATTCCGTGGTCGAGTGAACCCCTGGTTGGAACTGTCAGATGGATTTTGCCTCATAGTGCAATTCTTTTGGCCGACATTTGGATGGGAAAATTCCCTGCTGACTACTACTCGAGCTTCAAAATTAATCGAGTATTTCCCTCAAGGTTCCCTGCACACAAACGAAGTCGTCAAGTCAAGAAAGCTTCCATTCGGAAGCGACAATATGACGCAATCCCGAATTGTAAAAAATGTCGATAAGCCCTAAAAATCGAATATCTTACAACATATCCCTCCGACCCAGCTAGACTCTGCAGGCTCGAGCTCCTCGAGCTAAAGTCCGACGAGACCTTAGACTTGGGCCTATTGAAGCTCTCGGCCTTTTGCACACCCCTCCGACTGTTAACGCCGGAGCTATTCCCACTGCGATTGGAATAATTTGAAGAATAGCTGGTGGAGGGCACAGCGAGATTCAGTGAACTGATGGAGGAATGGGACGGGAGGGTCAGTCCTCCGTACCCCGAGGCAGTGCCACCGTAGGTAGTGTAAGGATTCTGATAATTCAAATTATTAATCGAATTTGTGTACGGATTCTTGAAGTACGAATTCTTGGACGATTTGCTCAACGCCGAGGGGCTGTAGGAATTCGATGGCGAAATCCCCAAGAGGTTCGAGTACGCCGATTGATTGGGACTGAATAATCCCGCGACACTCCTCGGCCTATTCCCAAATATGGAACTGCCACTGGCCGATGCCTGCGCTCGCAAACCCGCAGCAGTTGTCGGCTTAGACTGAGTCCTTTTTCGGTATGATGACATTGTGTCTATCGATCCAATCACAATTATTTTCTTTGGATTTTAATTACGCGAGGCACTTCATTCTGGAGAACTATTTCACATGAAGGGAATTAACTATTGCAGGAGTGAAGTGGTAAGATTTCTGTTGATTTCGTAATTATCGCGGGGATAAGTGGTTTAGGAGGGCCTGTGACTTGCCATGAGACACAAAATTTAAAAAGAAAATTTTAAAACAAAAAAAATCAACAGACTTCTTCAGTAGCTCATTAAATTCACTATCAGAACTTTGACAAAACCATTTTTTTGTGAAATACCTAATTACTTTTTAAGAGTGTCAATTGCTTGAGATTTTTTTTTCTCTATAGTTGCAGTCTATTGAAATTTAATAATTTGATTGCATTTTTGCATCTCGACAGGAAGTCATTTTGAAAAAAATTATTTTGTAGCTCATCTAATTTACTACCAGAAATGTCTTTCGATAAAACGAATTTTTTTAAGGGGAAAATTATTTTTTACGAATCAATTATTTTCTTTGGATTTTAATTACGCGAGGCACTTCATTCTGGAGAACTATTTCACATGAAGGGAATTAACTATTGCAGGAGTGAAGTGGTAAGATTTCTGTTGATTTCGTAATTATCGCGGGGATAAGTGGTTTTAGAGGGCCTGTGATTGCTATAAGACACAAAATTTAAAGAGAAAATTTAAAAACAAAACAATTCAACAGACTTCTTCAGTAGCTAATTAAATTCACTATCAGAACTTTGACAAAACCATTTTTTTTTTGTGAAATAATTACTTTTCAGGAATCTAGACATCGATATAATCAAATGTTAAATAACGTTAAATTTTGAACTATTCAATTAGGTAATATATCTCAACCATTTTTAAATTATTAAATTCATCATCAATTAAATATTCCGAATTATTTCATCAATCAATAATTGAGCTCGGAAGATTGTTTAATCAATATTTAGAATATTAAGTCAATTGACCATTCCATATTATCAATTATTTACTTAATACTCAATTGAAAAGGTGGATCATCAATTATTTTATTATTTTTCCAATTTCAATGAAGATAGATTAGATTAGAATGGAGTGACTAGGCGCACAAAGCGCCCTATTCCGCTTAAATCTATCAAGATCTATTGTAGCGGCCACTTGATCAAGACTGAATGGTTAGATCATCACCATTCTCCCCGACCGGGAATCGAACCCGAAACCTCTCGCATGTGAGGCAACCCTCTTACCCACTGCGCCAGGTCGTCGGGGTCAATGAAGATAAGTAAACCTCAATTATTTTAAGGTGTAACTTCTCTTAATATTAATCATCTAATGATTGATGCCGATCCCTGACTGGAAACGTGTGTTGACAAAACCAATTTTTTCACATGAAAAATATTCATTATTACAGAAGTGAAGTGTTAATATTTCTGTTGATTTTGTACATCGAAAAGACTCTTTCTGTAGCTGATGAGGAAAAATATTTTTAGACAGATTGCACTCTATTGAAATTTTTTCATTTATCACGAAATGGAACGAAAAAAAGGATCTGAAAAATTCGTTTAATTGATGAAATTTTCATTAATTGTACATTTACCTCTACAATGAATCATCTTAAAAGAAAGTGTCAAAGGACTTCTCACATCTAACGGAATTCTCAATAAAAAATTTCCCCATCCTGGAGTCTCAATTGACTCCACTTCCAAATAACTGCTTAATTATACAATTAAAATCGTGGTATGTCACGTCTTTGATTTCTGAATTTTGCATTGATCACGAAATGAAACGAACTGAGTATTTCCAGAGAACACGAAAAGTTCTTTCTAGCGAATGAAACTTCCCACTCTCGACATTTTCTTAAAAAACCACTCGTCATCGCGAAAACTCCAAACCCATTAAAACCTCGACAATCCCCACGTAACAATTTCAACCCCCAATTTCTCTCAATTGTGCATCTGCATTCACCTCAGAAACAAGTGACTTCAGAAGACCCCATCAACAGACTTTTTTCGCAGACGAATAAATTGTCAACAAAAAAATCTTCTGACTCCTCCCCTAAAGCCCCTGCAATAACCACAATTTTCCATTCAACAAAACGTTAAAAAATCAGCGTTCAATGCTATACCACTTCACTCCTGATTTATTTTTTCCACAAGCACAATTGAATTCAAATGAACCCCAGAAATTCTCATTCATCAACTCCTTTGTTCAATTTCCCTCGATTCCGATAGCCAATCAATCCACAAACTCTCGATTTAAATCATCAAAATATATCATTATTATCCCGATAGATCTCCTATCACTGACAGCAAGTGTTTGACTGATGTAGACCGCCCAGTAAAACTTCCACAGTCATCAGCCAGTTTTCGTATTTACCCCCACGAAAAATTGATTCTATAAATACCATCTACACACGTTCAACGCTGAAGGTTTTTTCGTTGCGTTTCAAGGCGCGTATTTTCGATTCCAACGGCCCTTGGTCTTCCATCATCACCGAGATAAAAAATAAATAAATAAACAAGAGAACCAGAAAGTCTCCCCTCGATTTAATTAAAGAGAAATAAAACGATTGGAAAATGTCAGGGGCTCGAAATGTCGTTTCGATATTTCAGGGTTCATCGAACGTTCAATGACTCAATCCCATCCTTTTATTCATTTTAATTCCATTGTTTTGCGTTCCTTGGATGGATATGGGGTCAGTGAAGTCTGTTGACTTTAGGGGATAAAATTAAAACGTCCAGAAATATATTTTTTAGTTTCATCGAGGGGGAATGATCGATGGAGAGGCATTTTCACAGGTTAATTTTTCGACAATCGTCACTGAGCATTGTAGTTATTTTTAATACTACGTATGTAAGAATAGGGGTTAATCTCGCTTGTAGTTGACCCAAAAATAACACATAACCAGTTGGTTGAGTGTAAAATAGATCTAGTGTTATGTAGTAATTATCGTTGAGGGATTTTGATTCTAGACGGAGTGTCTGCCAATGGCTGACAATTTTTGGATACATTTCACTGAGTTATTAGGGGCGATGACAGCGGTGTGGATGTAAATATAAATTTTTCTCAATGTCTTCCAAATTTAAAGGTGCAGAATTATGAGAGAAAATTGTCTGGGGGAGTGGGAATTTTATTGTATTACCTCAGTCTGGTTATTCTTCGCCTCCTCACTCTCCCCGACACTAGATCCATCCTGCTTCTCTGGATCTATCTCCTGAAATAAAATGAAAGAGAAATGAAATATTATAAATAACACATGTGCATGAATGCCGTCGTAAACATAAAATTACGAAGTCTGGGGCTTTTCACGAGCACGTGAAACATCCAGAATTTCAGACCAACGAAACGGAACACCTAGATTATATTAATAGCTATCGACTCATGACGTCAGTCTGCGATTTTACTTATAACGTATTTTTGGGGATTATTTTGGGTTTGAATGGACATTCTTATTCTTCATAACAATAAGGAATTTAAATTGAGGTAAGGTCATGGGAATTATAGTTAAAATACGATAAGTTGGTGAATTGAGACGTCTCATTTTGCCCTTGAAATGATATTTGAATTCTCTTTGCAACAAAAAATAATCTTTCATGAAAATAAAAAAAGAATTAGACGAATGAGACCTGCAATTTCAAAAAATAATTAATGAAGTGACGTGACCAAATTTGTAAATTTTTGTTTTGAGATCAGTTTTTGTTAAATATATTGAAATCCGAGAGTGATGGGGGAAATTCCATTTCATTTTTTTTTATGGAGAAAAATGGGAGAAAAATAGACGATCTTCTTGGGATTTCGAGCTATTCAGTAAGAACGAAAATACTAGTGTGAATATTGATAATAGAATGGCAATACTGAAGATCAGTCAAATTTTCGTTTTGAGATCAGTTTTTGCTGATTTTTTCAGAATCCAAGGAAAATAGTAAAATTTGTATTCAGACGTTTTTTGTGGAGGAAAATGAAAACTACAAAAAAGTTTTATATGAAAAATTTGCTATCTCCTTCGGATTTCAAGATATTTAGCAAAAACCGATGTACGAGAATGTGAATATGAATAACGAATTGATTTCGTTTTGACACCAGATAATAAAATTTTCATTCAAACCTTTTTTGTAGAGTAAAATGACAGTTACAAAAAAGTTTCAGATGAAAATTTTGTTATCTCTTTCGGATTTCAAGATATTTAGCAAAAACCGATGTACGAGAATGAGAATGTGAATCTTTATTACACTACATTTTTTTAAATTTTCACATTCCTCCACAAAAAAGGTCTGACCGAAAATGTCTCTATCTCCTTTCAACTAAAAGATAATTAGCAAAAATTAATCCACTCAAGTGTTTCGAAATATTTTCTCAATTTTTGTTGTTATGAATTTTTATTTTATTACTAACATCCATGTCCACGTGAACAACACCCGTCGATCTTCTTTTGGGTCTCCTTCGCCTCTGAATGACCGCCTGTGTAGCCTGGGCATTTCTACTGTCATTCTCCTTGTCTTGTTCTTGAAACAAAAAATAAGAGGAACGATATTTTTAATGAAGAATTGAGAATAATCTCCACTGCGTGGACCATTGGTGCATCAATTTCAGTGAATTCGAGAGATGGTGGGGCATGATGATGGGATAATTACCTTTGTCCTCAGGTGATTTCAAGGATCGTCTGAGTGGTAGGGTAACGGTTGCGTCGGCTGTACCAGTGGTAATTGTTTCCACTGGTGCTGAACTGGGTCTAGGTATTCCCGTTCCACCTGAAGGCCTTCTTATGTATGCTGTTGTTGTATCCGATGATTTATTGTTGGCGTCTTCCAACTGAAACTGTCGTGGGAATCATATTTAATTTGTTTTCCTTTTGTAATGAAAGACACTCCAGTTGTGAAGTGGCAAAATGTTAAATTTACTTTTTTTTAAGAAAACTTTTTGGAAAATATTTTGGAATCTGAGAGAAAAATGTTGTAGGAAACTTATGTGTGAAATTAAATAAGAGCTACAATTACCCGTGGAAATTTTACTATCTTCATTGGATTTAAATATATTTTGTGAAAAGTCAACTGTTGAAAAAAAATATGAGGCATTTTAACTGCAGAACAGGTGAGTTTCAGTATTCCTTAGATACAGAGATATTTTGTAAAAAGTCAAGCTTTAGTTCAGATTAAAATGAAAATGTCTCTAAATCTTAGAAGATGAAATGTTTCAACGTTTTTTTTATTCAGTAGAATAAAATCTACATTTTAACCGCAGAATAGGTGATTTTTTTATGAATATAACATTTTTTTGTTGAGACTTTTTTTGTTCAGTAGAATGAGATTTGCAGAAAGATCCTCATGAAATTTTTTGTATCACAGATATTTAGTAAAAAGTCGAGCTTTAGTTTAGATGAAAATGGAAATTAATTAATTACCATCTGTTTCAGTTTGTAGTATCTGCCTCATAGAAAGATGGCAAAACTTTAAAAATTTTTTTTATAAAGTAGATTCAGATCTGCATGAAATAATCGTTATGAAGATTTTGACGTGTCCTTTGGATTTACTAATATTTAATGAAAAGTGGACTGTTGATAGAAAATTAGTCATTTTAACCGCAGAACAGATGATTTCTTTACGAATATAAAAATTTTTTGTTGAGACCGTTTTTGTTCAGTAGAATGAGATTTGCAGAAAGATCCTCATGAAATTTTTTGTATCACAGATATTTAGTAAAAAGTCGAGCTTTAGTTTAGATGAAAATGGAAATTAATTAATTACCATCTGTTTCAGTTTGTAGTATCTGCCTCATAGAAAGATGGCAAAACTTTAAAAATTTTTTTTATAAAGTAGATTCAGATCTGCATGAAATAATCGTTATGAAGATTTTGACGTGTCCTTTGGATTTACTAATATTTAATGAAAAGTGGACTGTTGATAGAAAATTAGTCATTTTAACTGCAGAACAGGTAATTTCTTTACGAATATAAAATTTTTTTGTTGAGACCTTTTTTGTTCAGTAGAATGAGATTTGCAGAAAGATCCTTATGGAATTTTTGTATCACAGATATTTAGTAAAAAGTCGAGCTTTAGTTTAGATGAAAATGGAAATGGGTTAATAACCATCTATTCAGTCTGTAACTGTCTCTAAATCTTAGAAACATGGCGAAATAAAGAAGTTATTTTTATAAAATAGAATAAACTCTACATTAAAAAATCCGTATCAAGTTTTTCAAATATCTTGTGGATTTAGAGATATTTAACAAAAAGTAAAATATATTGTTGTATTCAATGACGTAACAATATAAAAGGCTGAAAGAACATGAAAGTCTGAACAACAAATTTATGTAAAAAAAAACAATAATCAAAAGTCAAACTTGAATTCCGGCAAAAATGAACATGAGTTCGTTCCACTTCTAGATAAGTTTGTGGCCCTCATCTCACAATCTAAGAAAGATAGCAAAATGTTTGTCGAATAGAGTAGCATCTACATAAAGCATTCCAATGGAAAGTTTTGTATCTTCCTAAAATTCAAAAACATTTACCAAAAAATGATAATTTCAACGGAGAATGAGAATGACTCAATTCTCCCTCTAGATCACTTAATGGTGAATATCTCGACACCTGTTGCAGAACAAATTATCAATTTTCATAGAGCATATTCGTTAGTTTTCCTTTCATTCTGTCGAAAAAAGTCCTCACAAAAATTTCACCAAAACCTCATCCTCGACTCGACTAATCATTTATCATCACTTCGCTACTGTCATCATAATTTAAGATATTGCTGAGTAACAAACTACGAGAGTAAACATGTCTTCCTCCTGCGCTGTGTGTTGCTCCACTCATCCAATACTTGTGTTTGTGTACACAAAGTGCATTGTTCCGTTAAAAAAAAAATAAGCCAACAAACCTTGCTCCCATTATCTACCCTCAACCGCCACGAGGGTCGTCTTTCAGGCAAGTTAGTCTCCTCAGGTAATTTGTTTGGAGTTACAGTCGTAGGAGTTGCTGTTGTTATCGTAGCTGTGATCGAGGCTGTTTGACCAAGTGAAGCTGCAGGCTGAGTTATTGAGGAACAAAAAGATGAAAAAAAAAACACATGAATTTTGGAAAGGAGCTTTTTAATTCTGTAATTAGATTGAATCTCTCATGTCATTCCACGTGAAATGCTATTAATTATGTTGGCTTTGCTGTTTCAATTAATTACAGAATTAATCAGTTAACTTCGTACATATTATTGCTCTCATCGGGGCATGATATGATCTTTGTAGTCAGCAGCGGAGTGGTAAATCATAGCAATTTAATTTTACACTTATTGTTAACTGTGCAATTAATTAGTGATTTTTGGAGAAAATATATATATATTTTTTTTTGCTGCATGACATTTTTCATTCTTAAATATGGAAATTCATTGTTTCTCTTTTTTTTCATCAAATAAATTATTTAGTGCGTTTTTAATTGCTAATCACTTATCAATCTTCAATTATTTTACAAAATTTCAGGTGAAAATTTGAAATTATTAATTTTTTGTTAGAGAAATCAATACATATGTGGTATTATTCACTAAGAAGAATAATTTTATGCAATAGCTATACAAATTGCCCATAAAAATTAGTGAAAAATCAACTTCTTGAGCTTTACCACTCCACCTCTGATTTTTGTTACAAACACTGGGAAAACCGGTCAAGCAAATGATGATTAGGAGCGAGTGGGGCAAAATGGACACTTCTGACTTTTTCGAAATATTAATAACTCATTGAGTTTTTGGTTCAATGATTTTTTTTCTATGGAAAGCACAGTTCTTCTCCATCGCCATGAGCCTAGATTGAACTCAATTAATCAATTAGTTTTTGAGTTATGAACGCTGAAAGCAAAATAAAAGCGTCCATTTTACCCCACTCTCCCCTAAATATTTGTATCGAGTCATTAACGAAATCCCTCAACCAAAAATAAACACGTACACTTGTTTAGACAACACAAAAACATCTCCACGACAATACAAGAACTACGGGATTGTCAGTCCAGTAAAATACTCCACGCATTAATACTTTTCTTTTCTCATCTGTATTTTTTTCATCCTCCTCGAATGTTTTGTACACGCAATATCGAATTTACAATTGTTGCCTATGAAAAAGAGTGAGAAAAATTCAGAGATGTATAATTTCGAATGATTTAACAATGAAGTAAAACTTTTTAAAACACCTTGATTTTCAACATTCTGTTGAATGTGGAATTATCTCGGTAACAAGCGGATTTAGAGGGAAATCTCACAAGACATTTTTTGTGGAAAATTTCATCAACTACAAAAAAGGTCTGAAGACATTTTCCCCTAAAACCAATAGTTCCCGAGATAATTACGAATTTAACAAAGTTGAATTTCACTTTTTCGTTTCATAACTTCACAAGAATTTAAGTTATCTTAATATCATAAGGAATCGCCAATATGACGGCTAATTTTATAATTCTGGAGACACTGGTGGACTCAATATGTCCCTGAATATTGATCCCAGCCTCGAGTTCATCGATCGACGATGATTTTTCTCGTTTGAAAAACAAATGTAAAAAACGATTAAAATACATTTTCAAATATTTTCCGTGGAGATTGAGATTGAATTTTGATTCAGCTGTTTCAGGAAAATCATTTCCCCCTGTTTCAACTTTTGAAGCGTTAATTTGAAGCTCTACCTGGGGTGTAGACGCTGGGGCTGTGTCGTTACTCTGCTGTTGCTTCTTCTTCACTAATTGCTCTGCACTCTTTATCTCATCCAGAGTGACACCCTGGGTCGATCGTCGAGTCTCGCGGACTCGCTTCGCGTGGGCTTTCCTCTGGGTTTCACTCTCCTCGTCGCGAACAGGTGGTACAAATGATCTGGAGACAGTGATTCAGTCGTTTAGAAAATTAAAAATTTTGGGAATTACGTAGAGGAGTGATAGGAGAAGATGAAACAATTCAATTTTCCTTCAGCTTTTGATGAGTATCTCTGCACCTGATGGGGATACCAAACATTCTGTAGAATTCTTATAAAAATTCCTCACGAAATGCCCTTTAGGTGCAGAAATATTCATCAAAAACTAACAATAAAGGAAAATTGAATTCGAGAGTAGGATAAAACGGTCTGTCTTAAGTGGTCCAAATCCCCTGAACAAATTAAACGATTCGGATGAATCAGTTCTCATTTTGAAGCTTATAAAAATACCTTGAACATGAAACAACGAAAAATAATTCAAGATTTATTATTTGGAATGATTCGACGACGACGTAAAACTTTTTAATACAATTTGATTTTAAACCTTCCCCTAAATGTAGGATTATCTCGGTAACCAGTGGGTTTAGAAGAAAAATTCACAGAACATTTTTCGTGGGAAATTTCGTCAGCTACAAAAAAGGTTTTGCTACATTTTCCGCTAAACCCAACAGATTCCGAGATAATTACAAATTTAACAAAGTCGAATGTCACTTTTTACTGAGGAATCGACAACAGAATGGCTAATTTTGATGGCTAATGAAAAAAAATCGGAATTACACTCTGCCATTGTCGAATTATTGACGTCTAAAGACCGCCCATTTTACCCCACTCGTCGACTGAATTATGTTGAGGAGTTATTATCGAGTGAAATGGATGGCGAGATTTTTATAATTTTCCACATTTGATTTTTTCAATGAATGGATTGAATTAATCGGATAAAGTAGATTTATTTTTCGATGGAATCTTCTCACTCTTATGAGAGTATTTAACTGTGGAATAGATGAATCAAATCCACTTGGAATATTTTTGCAGAATATCTGAGAATCTGAGAAAAATAGATTTTTCCTGAACCTGATAAAAGATCTGCATGAAAGTTTGTCCATCGCCCTCAGATTATGAGATATTTAGAGGAAAATAACCCTCAAGTGAAAATGAATCGTCTTATTTCACCACTTTCTCACTGGAAGGCCAATTATTTTTCATTCCAGTTCAATTTATTGCCTTAAAAATTGAATTTCAGTTCGATCTCGTGATCTCCATTAAAATAAATATTAAATTCTGCTGTTCATTTGCACAATAAGCTGATTATGCAACCTAAATAGAGTAGAATGCAAATAATATGAAGCGTTAATTTGTTAATTTGTGGAATAGGTCTCCTGTATTGATCATAATCACAATTGGGGAGTTAATTAAATGCGAGGATGAGTGAAGAATGGAAGAACTAAAATGATTGGTGGATGAAAAGAAAACGATGGGGATTCTGTTTTCCAACTTTCATGAAGGCTCGGGGAACTGCGGATTTTTTTTCTTTCAATTCTGCTCAAGCAAAAAATTTAAAAAACTGATGAGTTAGTCTTGTTGTTTGATCTCACTGAAATGAGATCCACCGAGTGCACACTCAACTCAGAAAATAAAGGCAGAGGAACAAAAACATGAATCAATTGACGTCTCGCATCTTCGATGAACTTAATAACTTTTTTTAATTAAATAAAAAACTGAGATAAAATCACAGGGCAAAGCAGTCTTGTTGCTGTTCTCTCATGCTGATGCTGAACAAAAATTTCTGATCAAGAAATATAGTGAGATGAATTCAATAGTGAAATGATAAAGCACAATAATTCGTCAAGTTTAGTCTAAATTTTTAATAAATAATTCTAAACCCAGAGGTGATGACATTTTCGCAAAAATTCTGCTGTCTCCCTCAGATTTCGTAAATATTTCCCAAAAATCTTGACAAAAGTGAAATTAATTTTTGAAGCTTGATAACTTCACTACTAAATTGGGGGTTTGCATGAATTTTTTCGTTGCTGAAAAATATTACAAGTTTTTCTCTCGTTGTAATGAATAAAGAAAAATTAATAAGTTCAAGGTGTTGAAAATTGAAATCGTTCAAAGGCTTTCCATTTTCAATTTTTCATGATCCTTAAAAAAAATTATCCAATGTTTTTCAACTCATTTCTGTTATTGATAATTTCATGAATGAAAAAATTGGATGCATCAACCCAAATCATAATTGCACTCATCCCACTATTCGAGGTATTTCATTTTAAAAATCTAAATAATGGCAGTAATCTGGAATTTCCATAGGATGGTTGTAACAGTTAGATTATGCATTTATTTTTCTAGAAAAATTGCAAAAGAATTCATGAAATCAAATGCATAAATTCAATTTTTTTGGATTAAGCATTCATTTTTCTAGAAAAATTGCAAAAGAAATCATGAAATCAAATGCATAAATTCATTTTTTTGGATTACGTATTCATTTTTCTAGAAAAATTGCAAGAATTCATGAAATCAAATGCATAAATTCATTTTTTTGGATTAAGTATTCATTTTTTTAGCAAAATTGCAAAAGAATTCATGAAATCAAGTGCATAAATTCATTTTTTTTGATTAAGCATTCATTTTTCTAAAAAAATTGCAAAAAAAATCATGCATAATCCAACAACGATGAACGTCTTACAAAATTTCGAATCAATGTCATAATTTTTTTCTCAAAATGAAATCCCCGAGTCCCAATCAAAAACAAAAAATGGAGGTTCACGTGAAATTCACAAAACTCAAAAGTCTCGTAAAATTGATTCTTTCCATTCGCATATAACTACGCACTTGAAGAAATTCTTGAAGATATTTCCAGGACTGAGTTTGCTTCCAGCCGGTGTATTTGGCGCTGACGCTGTTGTCGCTGTGTTACGAGTGGGTGAAACGTTTGCTGAGCTTGTTTCCACCGATTGTACGCTAATCATTCGAATCAAATTTATGGCTTCACAGATTCTCATCGCAATTTCGTATATAATGACATGATACAAATGAATGATGAATGATGTAGAGGTGATGACGATTGAGTGAACATACCTGCGAATTTGATTAGCTGGAACTGGACTTGTTGTTGTTGTTGTTGTTGTTGTTGCGGCAGTGGATGTTGTACTGGTGGAGCTCGTACCAGTTGGCAGTGTTGGTGACGACAATAGTTTGTTTGAAACAGATGTGGGAGACGAGGCATTGCTCTCCTGGGGGACTCGGGACAGCTCCAGGTTGAGCTTCACCTCTTTTTTCCTGAATTCAAGGAAACCATTCATTAAAAGTCTTGTAGCGGGGATTTTAACTCAAGCATTACGCAGGCTGGGAGGTTAAGCAAAATTTCATGGTTTTATTAATTATTATTCATTGATGATCAATTATTAATTCATTGGGAATCAAATGAAATACGGGGGAATTACTAACGCTACAATCGGTTTTTTAAATTATCTCGTTCATGGGAAACGACGATTTTTTTTCATCATCATGTTCGTATGAATCAGACATTTCAGTAATTAATAACGAAACGTCGTCAAACGTTAATGAGTCAAAAATTGATAACGTGGAATCTGACAAATTTTGGGTCATTTTCAAGATAACGATTTTTTAAGCTTCAAAATAAGGTCGAATCTATCCGAATTGTATTTTTTTAATAGAAAATATTGAGGATTTACAAGATTTATTTAATCATTTCGATAAGTTTTTCACGAATATTCATTAATCATTATTGATTAATGATCAATTTTTGATTGATTAGGAATTAAGTGAAATACGAGGGCATTACTACCACTACAATCGGTTTTTAAATTATCTCATTCATAGGAGCCGACGATTTTTACATGATCATGTTGATAAGAATCGGACATTCATGATTTTTCGCAAAATTTTTATGAATATTCATAATTTTTTTCTAATTTTTCTCACGCAATTTAATTGACAAATGTGAAAATTGAAAATGGTTGAATATCCTTAAGCCCCAAAATGAGATCCGATTCCTCCAAATCGTATTCGTTTCTCTAAAAATATTGAGGATTTAGAAGATTCATTTCATCATTCCATCAAATAACTAGATAAAATTCAATTAAACTTGATAATTATTTTTTACCAAATACTTTAGCACTCAAATCTTCACTTGAAGCTCTTTTCAAAAGCAAAACGAAAGCTACATAGAAAATCTTCAAAAAAACATTGATATCCCCCTCAAATTCCGAGATATTATAAAAAATTATAAGAATATATATTTTATTTTCTTTGCAATACTTCATGGAAAACAGTTAATTCAGAGATGATCAATTTAATTCGCAATGGTAATTCCTATTCACTAATATTTACTGAATTACTCCACGTTTCACTTAACTCCAGAAATGGGTGGTTTTAGTTTCAATTTCAAAACATGCTTGGTATACCTGTGAGTTTCGCGCAAGGACGCAGAACGAGTGGTCGTAGCGTTGGTGTGGTAGGGAGTAGCTTGATGACAGCGGTGGAGTGTGGGGCAGGAAGATGCCATGATTCGAGCTTGCAATGCCAGGTACTGCTCATAGAACCTGCGCAACATGCATCATGCCATGCGTACTTTTGCTACGGTTCTTGTTTTCTCTTAATTGTTTACAATTATTTTTACATCTTGACTTTTGTCTAGTACTTTTATTAAGCATCGTCGAGAAATTTACTTCAATTTTTCACATCTTCAATATTTAAAAAAATTAATAAATATTAATAGAAAAAACATTTTTAACTCATATATTAAATTATTTCCGATGAAAACTAATTGAAGTCTTAAAAGTATTTAATTCTGAGATAAATTAATGATTGAAAAATTTAGTATGAAAGGAATTGGAAATTGTTTTCAAGAACAGGGAAATCTAGTTTTGTATTTTTTTTCTAGGAAATGACGAATTGAGTCTTTTAACTTCAGTTCCTAGTGAAATTGATTCAAAAAACGAAAGACAATTCAGATTTCACTCCAAGAAATTCGATATTTGCTGTGGATTCTTTAAAAACTCATTTCAAATAATCGCAAGATGTGAAAAATCGAATATTTCTCCTAGTCACAACGCAAAGATAAGCAAGAGAATCGATATATTAAGGGTTCTGTTTAGATACTGGCATCAAAATACGAGCTCAACAACCAAAAATCACTCAGGGGTTACCAACTAGTAAAAACACGTTAGAAGCCACAAAAGTGCTCTCTTCTCTTTTCTTTCTCATTAGTAGCGTGGAATGCCATCAGTGAATTTCTACTCACTTTTCGTCTTTCTCGAAGCTGTGAGTCCTGCGGAGAACGACTTCAGGCTCGGGGTTCACTTTGTTGGGGATTATTGGTGTTTTTGTTGGTGAATTATCCTTATCCTCAATTTCTAGATAAAAAAACAAATTAAACCTCTAAATGCATGAAAAATTCAACAGATTTTTTCATATTCAATTCATAAGGAGTAAAATGTCGAGGATATCTTTCATTCACAATTCCATTAACTACGAAAGACATCAAAGGCATTTACTCCTCGATGAAAAGATTATAAAATTACTGAAAATGTGGGTTTAACTTTTATTTTAAATTATGAACTTTAAACTTTGGATTGTAATCTTTGAATATGTTTCATATTTTATCATTTTTTCATTCATCTATTCAATTTAGATAAAATATGAATGTTACAAAAATTATTTACTCCTTCCGAAGTGGAAGAATTGTCAATTTTTATGATTTTGATTGTCAAAAAGTTGATACTCACTCGATGTTAATGAATTCGTGGATTCAGCTTCTTGAATTCTATTTCTAAACGAACCAGAGCGTCTCCAGGACGGAATAATACCCTCTTCCGTATTTTCAGTCTGTTGTTTTGGTGGCAATATTGGAGCCTTGGGGAACAAAAAAAACAGAGATCAATAGAATAAGCATCAAAACCAAAATTGTAAAACTATTTTCCAAAATAGTTCTAAAAAATATTTCAATAGGAAAAAATTCACAATCTCAGAATGAACTCATTCCATTCCAGACATGTGCATAATCATAAATTTTTAATAAAGTTTCATTTTGTATAAGTCACTTGGTAGTATTACTCGACAATTTTTTAATTATTACATTAAATATTCAAATTCCGAATTATTTTATCAATCAATAATTGAGTTCGAATGACTGACGATTATTTGGTCAATCGAAAAACTTTTTCATGAAATTTAGAATTTACTCAATAAGCCAATTGACAATTTCCCATTGTCAATTATTTAATCTACAGTCAATTGAAAATTTAAATTATCAATTACTTTATTATTTATAAAATTTCAATGAAAGAGAGTAAACCTTAATTATTGTAACGTGCAATCTCTAATAATATTAATAATCTAATGATCGATGCCGATCCCTGTTCCCTTTTCCTAAATAATAATCATAAAAACTTACTTGATTAGGAACCTTGGATATTTCTGTGGGAGACACTGGACTGAGTGATCCAGTGTCATCTTTATTAGCCCTATTCTTCTTTTCTGTAAAAACGAAACAGAATTAAATGAGCATTACCTCCAATTGCCAATTCATAATGCAAAAGGGCACACTTGACCACTGACACAGCATTTTCTCGACAAAAAGACCTATCACATACAATGGAGCCCCTTTTTTCACACATTTGATGTTTTGCATTGAGACCTTGTGTGCAAAAATTATAATCCTCGTACTCTAATTATGTGAACGATTTGCATATTGAATTCCACGAAATTGAAATGTACCAACCAAATTACACATTATGCAATCTGACTTCCGCATTGTATAACTGAAACTTATTATTGTTCAATTTGTTGTTTGTGAGGTATAATTTGAGCTCGTGGAATTTAAGAAAAATAAAATCTGCGAATTTGCGTTCGAGTTTTATGCATTTTTTTCTGCATAGAATTGGTTTATGGATTGTTTCACTGCGAACCATTACAAGGGAAAAAAGGGCTTCAAAAGTCGAAACAATTTTAATTATTTATCTATAAGCAACGAATGTTTAAAAAAATAATAATTCTGTGCAAACTGTAATTTAAATGACGCTGAATATTCACAATTTCTTTCAAATTTCTCTGACGCAATTTAATTGACAAATTTGATGACTGAAAATGGTTGAATCTACAGTGTGTCTCCACCAAACTGTAAAATATACTTGGATATCCTTAAGAAAAATGAAGAGTTTGATGAATTTAGTCTTTGTTCATCTCAAATTGTGAACAATAAATTAACCAATTGCATAAAAATTGCCGATCTTGTGTAATCCGTTATTTCATCAAAAAAATGCTGAGTCGCTATGAAAGTACGCCTCCAAAAAAATCTCATAAAATCTAATCTATGAAATCCACAATTTTCATATTCTTTTCATTCATTCTTATCCACACCCCTTACCATCATCTGTAAGGCCTACTGACTGATCAGAAGGATTAGACCGATTGGAGCCCGAGGAAGTCTGTGTGTCTGAGTTACTCTCAGACTCACCCTCAACTTCGCTCGCTTCAATATCAGTCTCTTCTCCACTTTCTATCCAAGCAGCATGCAGACGAAATTCATTTATTATCCAGCCCATCAATTGTTTCATTATTAATTCATCAATTGACAATAATTATTCGGAATCGTACGACATGAAGTGACGAAAATCAATGGATAAATAACTCACCAACATCGCTATTCGTTCCTGTACTCGTATCCTCTTTATCCGACTGAATTTCTAGTTCAACTTTTATCACCTTATTCGGTGTCTCCTCCTCGAACGTTTCATTACCCTCTTGGGACACGACAGCATTCTCAATGGTTGGAGACACTCTGAAAGCATTTAATTGTCAATTTAATATTGCAATGGACTTTTTTTTGCCATTACACATGGGGAATGAAATATCTAGGTGAAATTGTACCTCTTCTTTGGTATCATTGGTTGTTTCTTGTTGTTCAACTGGGGATGATCCTTCATCATCGTCTGTTGCTTCTTCTGCAACTCTTCTAGAGCCTTCAGAATGTCATTGTCTGCTATATCGAATGCTGTTTGACCCTGGAAAATGCAAGGAAATGTCTTTGAACAATGGGTTTCTACGTCAATTGGAACAGGGGCACTTTGTTCTATTTTAAATATTTTTCAGATTATTCTGGGAATGAGTAACAATGGGAGAATTTGGAGTGATGTGAGGTGATCTGTAATTAGAGATTGATAAACTGGAATTCAGCGATTTTTCTTTCATTTCTGAGATAATTTTTTAGACTTAAAAATGAGGCCCGATGTTGATGATTCAAGAAGGTCTATCGCATCTCATTTTTTTCCATTACAATTTTTACGTGAAATTTCTTCGTAGAGAAGAATTAATACATCGAAAGTTTCTAATGGAAAATTTTCTAATCTTTCAGATCCAAAGACTTCTAAACAAAGACGGTTAAACGATTCAAATCGATTTTGACTGTTGGCCAGTTTTTAATGAATGAATTTTAATGAATCAAAATGTACATATTCGACTAAAATTCAAATACTTTTGGAACCCACCGCATAATTCTTCATATCCATATCACAAAAATTCTCAACAAGAAGTTTGCAAGCCTCGATTTGCCCCCAGTGTGCTGCACCATGCAGTGGTGTCCAGCCATCGTAATCCTGTGCATTGACATCACACCTAGCTTGTAAAAGTATGTTCATAACTTTTATGTAACCCTTGGCAGCGGCAACGTGTAGCGCAGTAGCACCGGAGCGTGGATGGGTGGAATCTTTACCCGGTGCTCCAGATCGCCAGGCTCTCGCGTCACTCAACATCGATCTCTCCTCCTCGCTCCTCGCCTGATCGCAATCGATGCCTGAGTCGAAACAAAAAAAGAAAAGGCTCGTTTTACATTTTTCTTCAGACGTTATTTGAGCACATGTTTTGCGAAATGAAATTCGAGTTATGTACCTGCTTTGTTGATGTGCTGCTGAAGCAGGTCCTCCATTTCATTGCTCTCAGCGATGTCAACTGCAAGCTCCCCATCGTTATTCACAGCTGCTAGGTTGCAGCCTTGTTCAATTAAGTACCTGCAAGTTTAAATGGGTGTAGAGACGGTTTTAATCGCTCATTACTAGGGATTCGTAGAGTGAAATTCAATGAATCAGGTCTCATCTCCAAGGTTTTTACTCATGCTTTAAAATGAAAAAAGATTTATCCAAATTGAATCATTCGTTCATGAGATATTGAAGATTGAATGAAGTTGAGTTCGTCCATTCTTCAGATGATTCGAAAGTTTCTACTGATATTCAATCATCATAACTAGAGATCGGTAGAGTCAATGTCAACGAATGAGCTTCCACTTTTAAGGTTTTTACTCAAGCTTTAAAATGAAAAAAGATTTACCCGAATGGCAGCATTTGTTCATAAGATATTGAAGATTGAATGACGTTGATTTTGTTCATTCTTTGGATATTTAGAAAGTTCTTACTGATATTCAATGATCGGTAACTAGAGATCACCAGAGTCCATCTCAATGAGTGAGCGCTCATTTTCGAGGGATTTTTTCGAGCTTTAAAATGAGACAAGATTTACTCTATTGGAATCATTTCTTCACGAGATTGAAGATATTAAATATTTTCTTCTATTCTATACCTCACGTTTTCAATTATTTAAAAATTTATCTTGATGCAATCGTTAATTACTCAAAATCAGCTGATTGAAATCCAAAAAATCAGATCTCATTTTCAAGATATTTTCTCAAGCTTCAAAATGAATCGAGATTTACGCAAATCCCATCACTAGCTTACGAGATATAAAAAATTAAACAGTTTACGTTTTCAATCAATCATCAATAACTCGACATGAACAGAGTAAAATCGGTTTGATAAAGTCTCATTCTCGGGATCTTTTTTCATGCTCTGAACTATCTTCAAATACAAGGGAGATAGACTCCGAGATATTCATTGAAAACTGACCAATAGTCGAATCAACTTAAACCACTTTACCGCTTCGCTACAGAATCTAAATTTATCCAAATCGCATCATTTGTGCGTGAAATATAAAACAAGTGGGAAATTGCTTTCGTCACACCATAGCCAATATATTTTTGCTTATAAATTAACCATTTGCTTTCGAATGGAATTTTTATGACGCTGTTCAAATTGAATTCAACGATTCATTGAATTCACTATTTTCCCACTGCGGGCAGCCAACATTGTCCCAACGTTGACAGTCAACATTGCTCCAACGTTGACAATCAACATTGTCCCAACGTTAAAATTTGTCATCTTTCCCTGAATATTGATTTCAAAATAATTTTTTTCAACAACAGTAATTTTCAACAACAGGTCAACATGGCATTGGAAAAAATCCTTCAAATCACAATTGTATTAATTTAAACAATTATTTGTCAGTTATCGTCGAAAAACAATAGACCAAAATTAGTTATGCTGACCCAAAAAATCGGAAATTTCGCATTCGACGAATACAGTGCTTCCATTCGAAAGCAAAATGAAAAAAAAAACCATTCTCATTTCCCTGGATACATTACAATAAAAATCCAATTATCATACTTTGCAATAGATATGAATCCACAGGAGGCAGTAGCATGTAAGGGTGTCCATCCCTCATTATCCCCCCGATTGATATCAGCACCCTGCTCCACCAAAAACTCCACCATATCCAAGTCATCGTCGATGCACGCCTGCCGAATAAAAAAATTAAATTCACAATTTATTAATAACCCCCGAGTCAATGATACACGTGTGAATAAGTGAAGCCCCACGAGGTGTTAAAAAATCACGTTAACGTTTATTTTTTGCCTTTGAAAAACCCCAAAATTATCTGTTACCTCACTGGCTTGAGCTCCTCGGGTGTGAGACGGGGCTTCTTCGCAGCCAAAAAAATAAGAGATAAAAAAAAATGTGAAATGAGAAAAATAAACCATCTGTTACAACACTGACAAAACCATCGTGGACACGGACGTACACCAGGGACTCTGACTTCTAATAGGTAATCTATTAATAGTCACTCGAGCAAACCACGTTTTCTCCATCTATACCATAAATTTGCAACGATTTTTTTGCGCATTTTTTTTTTCCAGATGCTAGCATTGCATAATGTAAAAACAAAATTCCTGAATTATGTAATTGATGGCTCTGAGCGTAAAATATGCTGAAAGAGTACAAAAAGATCGCTATTGGGAGGGGGGGGATATATATCCGGAGTATGATTAATGTTTGAAGTTCCTGAATTGAGAATATTCAGTCGAATTTTCTGGGAATCAATTGGTCTAGATTTCATGTTATTTTCGAGTTGATTCTATTGTGGGAATAATTCATAGTTCTGGGATTGAATTGGACGGTTTTCGAGGGCTTCCGCTCGTCTTGTAATTCAAGAGACTTCTTTTTGAGAGACTGAGAATATTGAGGATATCCAAGTACTTTGGCTATTTTTTCTCCAGAGAAATGATTTTCTACTTTTGTAGGCGAACATTACAGCTCTTATTTGAGCCCCATTTGACCCTAAGATTCTGGACATGTTAACAATGATTTTATTATTTAAACTCTGCAGGTCTGAATTTGAATCCTGATATTGAACCGATAGAAAACATTTTAAAAATCGGAAAAAAATTGGAAAGTTTACTTTTCGAGGGAGATTGATGAAATAATTAAAAAAGTGCAATTTTTCAAAATTACGAGCATCTTCTATAAATAATCTATAAACAATCCATCATAAAAATAATTTCTTCGGAATTGTAACGAATTTATTCATATTCAGAATTTTACTTGAAATTGATTGATCCCTGAAAATAAGGCTAAAAATAAGGCTTCCGAAGGTTTAAGTAAATTTCAATTATTTATTTATTAACAACGAATGACGCTGAATATTCATGATTTTTTTTCAAATATTTCTCACGCAATAATTTGAGAAATTTGATGCTTGCAAATGGTTGAATCTACAGTGTGATCCGTCCCAAACCGTAAAACATACTTGGATATACCTAAATAAGTAGTTTATATGTTCCGGAGAATGTTATTAGAGATAGATGTGGTTTTCAAGTTTTGTCTGGGGGCATTGTCATTGCTGATAGCAAGTTGAATCATCTGACATTTATCCGGAGGGCTAGGTGATTACAAATGAATCATTACGTTTGAGTTGAAAGAATTCGGAGGAAGGAAGCTATCATTATTTCATTATTAATTCTTTTCTCAGACCAAACAACCATAAAAAATTACTTAGAAAGTTAATTTGATGAAATTCAGTAGCGAAGCGGTAAAACGATTCAAGTCGACTTGGCTCTCACCTGAGTTTTCGAGGAATATCTCCGAATCTAAAGGAGACAGTGAAATTTTCGTAATCACCTTTTCTGCAGGTCGTAAACTGCTGTACAAAAAAGGTCATGATAAAAACATTGCTACCTGCCTTAGATCGCGAGATATTCAATGAAATCAAACCAATAGTGAAAATCGACTTGAACCGCTTTACCGCTTCGCGACTGAATTAATGATTGTGTTCTTGATTGAAAAATAATTCCTCTCATTTAAGGAGTTGAAGGTGTTGCAGATCGTCTGAAGGTTCACTGAAAAACCGGGGAAATCCTATCGTAAAAAGGAGAAAAGAAATCGATCTCGAAATATCTCGAATAAGCGTAAGCGTAAGTCTGAGACCGAAGCGCCACTACGTGAGGAGATGAGAAGGCGCGTGCGCAGCAGGCGTAGCCGATCTCGTGTGGGAAAAGTGAAAAGTGAAAAAAAATGTTGATTCCAACTATTTGAGCGACGGGCTATTCAGAACTCTCAAAAGTATGTGGAAAAAGTGAAAAATGAAAAAAAAATTTTTTTCACCGGGGGCCAAAGTGTCAGATCTTGGATTTTTTGCCAAAATCGAATTTTTTAGCCGGGTGAACGTTGATTCCAACTATTTAAGCGACGAGCTATTCAGAACTCTCAAAAGTATCCTATTGAAAAAGGAGAAAAGAAATCGAGATATCAAAATTTTTACGACTTTTTTCATAGAGAAAAAAAGAGCTACAGTATATTGATATCTCAAGGAGAAGTGGGAACGACACAAAATGTAAAAATCCGAAAGGGTATACATACTGAAAAAATAATAATAAAGGAAGAATTCAAGTGCCCCACTCGTCAGTAATAAATTGAATAAAATTAAGGCCGTGACTATTCGCACCATTGCGTGAATCACTCCCGTACACTCCATACACTCCACGCATGCGTGAAGTTGGTGTGTTTCACGCAGCCGAATTTTCATACTACTGTGTATTTCACGCAGTTGAAGTTTCATACTACTGTGTGTTTTACGCAGTTGAAGTTTTATACTACTGTGTGTTTCACGCAGTTGTATTTTTATACACCTGTGTGTTT